TAAATCGATCGATTGTTGTGTAATCGATTGAAAAAATTCGATAACTTCTGATCGTAAGCCGACGTGGAGTCTGTACGGTAGATTACCCAGGGATGCTCTCTCATCTTTAGCAACAAGATTCACAAAAAAAGGAGTAAAATTCATCTCGAAAGCCCCGGTTCGATAACTTCTGATCGTAAGCCGACGTGGAGTCTATACGGTAGATTACCCAGGGATGCTCTCTCCTCTTTAGCAACAAGATTCACAAAAAAGGAGTAAAATTCATCTCGAAAGCCCCGATCATCACCTTCTCAGGTAACGACAAAATCTATGCCTGGAGAAAGAATCGATCGGGACTGGTATCCACTCAAAGGACAAACCGACTTAAGTGAACCGAAGAAACAAGAGTTAACCGACCGAGGCACTATGGTCAAATCAATTTCTCTGAATCCATTGGCTGACCCGAGAGCAAGCCTCTCTGAAAGCCAATGTTACAGGTAAAACTAAAAATTTCATAACAAGCCGAAGTGGCAAAAGTAATCGTGAAAAAGCAAAAAGGATCAATTATGCAAAGAATTACAAGTCTTTTTGTATAATAGTGACAATTTTTTAGCCAAAAAAAGAGTATCCTCGCAGGGTCTAAGCGCTACGGACTAGATGATCGATTATCGCCTTGATTACCAAAAAATTCACTCCCGCTACTCGAGCCATCATTCTCTTCCAAGGCATCTGCAGAACGATCGGAGATTAAAGCACTATACTCGGATGGGTCGAGAAACTTCGGGCTAACAAAGACATGATGAACGAACCGCTGGTAGCATACTCGAACCCCAGCCTAAGTTGACCCGCTAACTCCTCGCGAGGTACAAGTGACTTCAATATCCCCTAAGCTCAGCGATTTCCATCTTCAGCTGCTCCACCCTTTGTACAGACTACTGCTGCATCAATCTGGTGAAGTCCCGATCATCACAAGCCCTGTGGAGCCATTGGGCAGGCGGTCAACTTCCCCTTGGGACTTTGACAGACTCTCCTTGGCTACCCTCAGAGAGTTTGTCATTTTCATGAAAGCAAGTCCTAAAGAGCGAGAAATCTAGCTAGCCTCCAGGTGCAATCAAGCGGCAAGCTCAAGAAGTCTCTCATGAGAAAGTTCCTTGAGCTCCGCCTAAAAAGCCAAAAACCAAGTCATTTATGTCAGAAGTGGCTGCATGCACTGAGTGTCGGCTGACAGAAGATGTCAATCACTTGAGACATCTAGCAAGTTGAATCACTCGTCATCAACGATCCATAACCAACCCTCACCCCCTTATGGCGAGCGCCAGCCAGGGTCCCCCCGTTTTCTCCTTAGCGAGAGAAGATGGGTCGGGACGTTAGCACCCTCCATCAGCTCCTTCCCTTCTCGATGAACGGCTTCTCCCTCCAGAAATGGCAAAGATTCGGAGCTAGAGCAAGAAGCAGAGCCTCCTAAAGTGGAACCGGTCGAGGGCCGAGGAGACTCAGCAATCTTGGCCCTCGCAACCCACTTCAAATGAGTAGCAGCGGGTCAAGCAGTCAGCAGAGAAGCGGCGATAGGTTCACTTGGCACAGCAGAGGAAGGATCTACAGCAGCAATCCCCCACTGAGTTTCCTCAGAGCTCGTTCTGGCCCCTTCGCTTTGCCCTACAATAAACGAATGAGATCGTGAAATTATTTTTAACTACCAGTCACTGTGTCCTAAACAATGATCGTTGTCTCAGAAATAAAAGTTATAAATCGTCCGATACCAGGAGACACAACATCAAGAATGTCACCTATCATAAAAGTCTCACGGGATGGACCGACCTTCAACTTTTGTCACTGCTTTTCCTCCGCCGCTTTTGCTCGGGCGGCTTTGTTGGCATCCGACTTTTTGTCCTCCCTTCCATTACCTCGTTCACCGTCCTTTTCGTAGTATAATGAGGGACCGACATCGAACTCCCTTTCAGCAAGTCTTGGGCATCCCGCAGATCGGCTGGTAAGGCCCTCGACTTGCTACCGGCAACCTCCCGCGGGCAAGTGGCAATCTCCCAATCACTATATGTAGAACCGGCCAAGAAATTTTTACGTCAATCCTTGATTTTATTCTCAACGCTAAGCAAATGAAGTTTTCGCCAAAGCGAAAACATGACAAACCCTCTCTGATCAACCTTGAAGGAGAAGTAGTAACTGAAGGTGTCCATAGACCAATGGATACTGAAACGACAGCAAAAATGACAAAAGTCAAGATGGTTGCGATAGAGTTTAGAAGAATTTGGGCCCGAATGACCTCATATCTAGTAAACACACCCCTGAGCTCCAGTCATAGGTGCACAAGTAACTGTAATTAAACTGATCCTGTAATAACACTAGATCAAGGCCCACATCGTCCGTCAGGTGCCCTACGACGGATATCCTGCGGAGGGTAATCTGTGCACCCAACAAATAGCGCTCCTGAAGACTCTTCACGTCTTGGTCCGTCAAAGAAGAAGAATTGGCCGCCCTCACGGTGCTGAAGAAAATCGAAGAATACTTTGAAGTCATTGTAGCCGAATGAAAAGAACAAGAGTAAATGAAGGAAAATGAATTAGAAAAGTCAAAGAACAAAGTACAAAAGTGAAATATCGCAACCCCTAACCTTATTTATAAGGTGGGTGCGCAAACCGAAGAATAGCATAAAGATAAGCGTCGCACCAATTGTCATTTCAAATTCCTTAAAATATTATTTTATTATAATATTATTATTATAGGTATCGAACAAAATGCTTAATAAATGAGTCTTTTGTGGCTTCAGACGAGGCATACCCCTTCTCAAGCAACCTCTGGAGGAACATCTCTCAACCAAGCCTAATCTGCTCCATCCAATCGGCTTTATTATGGAATCAACTCAGAACTACCAAACCGCAGATGGATCCCTATCTCAGCTCGGATGTCGTTCAGGGAACCTAACAACGACGCGGCCTCTTCCTCCAGCCGGGGGATGGTAGCCAACCGTAGTTGGAAGGCGACCTCCAGACGTTCACAGCGAGCCATCCACCCAAAGCAGATGAGTCGGCAGGGCCTTCCATTGTTTGGTGCAGATCCTCTACCATCTCCTGCACTCGACATGCCACCGATCCAGGAGGGAGTCTCTAGTACGCAAGGTGATTTTGCTGAGAGCTTTCGCCCATGTCGATCGACGGAAAAGGGGGAGGATGATCGCATCAAGGGACTCGGCGGCAACGATAGGAATCGAGTCGATCACATCTCTCGATGGCCCAGCGCCCTCGACATCCTCCATCCTGACCGACACATCTGCGTTTAGAAGGAAGTTTAAGTTGCTGCGTCAGCCAAAGTCAAACAAAATTTCTTACAAATCCATGAGCCTCTCAAGCTCTGACCTAGTCAAGGGATGACCTTCCTCTCCCGCTATGGTGCCTCCTCCCTTTTCCTCCGGGGCAAGCAGCAAAGGGTCAACCGCCACCTCTGCCCTTAGGCTACGACGATCGTCGGCATTCTTTTCCCCGGACAGGGCGGATAGGTCGACCACAGCCCTGACTTCGCTTGGGCCAGAGCCAACGGGTTTCCAAAGCCTCTTTGGCGACCGTCTTCAGGCCCCTTGAAAGAAGCAACCCAGTCGACCGACTCGGAACCGACTGTCCCTCGCCTTTTTTCTTTCCTAACCACATTTTTCTTTTTTGGGATAGATGTCGAAGCAAGTAAATACCCCACCAAAGCCAGTATGCTGGGTTAACTGTCCTGTTGCTCGTGCCGCCCAACATAACACCTACTCAGCAACCCGAAAAATGTTGGCAAAAAATGAACAACCCAACTCCTGACCTTATTTATAAGACACGTCAGGCACAAAAATAAAGAAAAAACTAATCATTAACTTTTCATGATTTTTGTGACACAATTAAGATAATAATTTTCATGTACTTATCATAGTTGTCGCCACCAAAGAGCAGGAAAATTCGGGGAACTAATATATACGCAATAGAATTACCGGCGCGAATCTCAAAAAGAACGAACAGCCAAAAATAAAAAACTTCCCCTAAGGGTAAACACTCGATCGGTAAGTCACCATCAAGCAGGTGAAGCTGCATCTTTGAACCCGGAACAGGTTAAAGCTCTAAAGATGATCCTTTGCCCAATGAAGACAAGATCTGCCAAGGGCGAGGCATTATTCATCATAACAGCAAGTCTCATAGAATTCCAGACACAAGCAGTGGTAAGAACTGCCTAAGACCTTACAAATAGAGGTATCCATCTGAGGTGGTAAACCAACCAGGTAGACGACGTAAGTCTCATAAAACTTAAGTCAAAGTGAAAAGTGAGCCACAACTCACCCGAAAAAATAAATTAACTCATCAGTCGACCGACCAATTAACCGGAGCGCGGGCAAAAACTCTCTGATCGCGATTGGATAGCTAACCCATTTTTTTCGTGGAGGACGATATGGTCATTCAACTGAACGCCTCGGTTGACCAAACACATGAAACAGTCGTCAACCAGACGATCGTCTCATTCAGATGCAATCTAGTGAATCGACCAAGGGATTACCATTACATCAAAACTCAATTTGTAATGTAGATATGGAATGAAATCCATACAATCAATTAGAGCATTAATCATATTAAAAATGATTTTCATAATTGTTCTCTCATTTCTGTAATTATATAAAATGTATTCATATAAACAAGAGACAAAAGGATGACCAAAGGGAGGCAGGTTATTCGGACTCCTACGATTCTGTCCACAGTAACTCTTGATTTAATTTATTCTCTCATTCACTCGATTTTAACTCTCGAGACGTGTTCGCAAAAGACAATTCGGGATCCAACATAGATAATCAATTATTTCCTGAAGTTAACACATTTAAATGTTACCAATAACACACTTTGAATTGGACTTTCTTTTGCAAGCATTTTAGGAGTTGCCACTGTTATTTTACTGAATTAAAATTAGCACAACACTACAGAGTGATTCAGATAAAATCAAGAACATGATTATGTTGGTCTACAAACTAATCAAAGAAAACCAGGAAGTACCTTTCAGATAATTTAAGCCCATCATCAACTATTGCTGGAACCTGTGCCATGGGATTTATTTCTGCAAAATGTACAAATCGGGAGTTCGTCATTGCAGTAAAAACCTTTATATATACTAATCAAAATAAACTATTATGAGCATTCCAGAATTGGCCACTTGAGCAGCAAAAACATTCAAACAAATCTTTACAGCCTACAGATTCTGCTAATTAACCGTAAAATAGGACATAATAACTTCTGGAAACCTTTGTATTCCGGTGATTTATGCTCGCCCTTAAGCAGATCGATACTAATCTCCTCAAAATCAACTCCATTTACCCTGTAAAATGGCCAACGGAGAGAAAGATGCACAAAAATTAATCACTGCAGGTTGAAGCATTGATCGACAGCAGTAAAATAGGATTTGGAGATATACTTGCAGAAGATTATGATAGCTCGTGAAGGCTGCGACAGTCGATTGGCGTAAACCTTGAGCGTCATTTTCTTCTCTCTTCCGAGTATCCTCTTCTAGCATTATGCTATAAGAAACTTAAATGCAGCCGTCATAAGCCGACGGAGGTATCTGATGCCAGCTCTGATTAGTATATCAGTAGGACAGCTGTTTGCTCGGCGCATGGCATTTAATGCTAATATAATATAACATGACGTATTTTTTATAATCTTTTATAAAATATACCAAATAATTTAAATAATTAATGTTAATATATTTTCTTAAAGAATTGAGTAGGGCTGTCAAAAGGGCTAGTTATTCGCGAACAGCTCGTGTTCAGCTCGTTAAGAAGCTCGTATTCGGCTCGTTAATTTCGTTTGATAAGTTAATGAGCCGAACACGAACTGAGATGTGTTCATTCATGTTCGGCTCGTTTTGGCTCGAAATATTACTCATCAAGTTTATATATATATATATATATATA